TAGAAAATTTATAGGAAATTACCTATAGGCACACCATAACTTTTACATTTTCCCTATAGAGACCGATAGCAAATAATTCAATGAAGGATATATAGGGATATCCCCATAGAACAACCATAAAACATTTAACAAAATTTTATTAAAACCTATGGGGTCCTATGGGGGAAATACTAATTTTTATATTTATGTGTATTTTCCCCATTAAAACCAATATCAAATAAATCAAGGGTGCATATCCCTTTAGAACAACCATAAATCCCAACTATGGGTCGTATTATACGACTCGTATACATACCGATACACCCTATAGAAACACCATACATTCCGATACAAATATCTATCGGTTTTAACAGGGTCTCTATGGGGTATTTTAAGCAGGGTTGTTTTGCGTCATGTTGTGTGGACTAATAAATTAAAAACAAAAAACTTTGGTTTGGTTTGGTTATTTTAATATAACGATCATCCAAAAATGTTTCTTATTTTTAAAATAAAGATGCATCTTTATTTTAAAAATAAGAAACATTTTTGAATGATCGTTATATTAAAATAACCATAACATAACATGTTAATTAATTGGGTAGGAAGCAATTGAAAAACTAAAAAGTGCTTGGTAATTGGTAATTTATTTAAGAAAAAAGTGCTTGCAAGCACTTTTTGAGTAATTGGTGCTTGGTAATTGAATTTTTCAATTACTTTTCTCGGTAATTGGTAATTGCAAGCACTTAAAGTTTTTAAAGTGCTTGATGCTTGGTGCTGGCAATTACTTTTCCAAAGGGCTTGGTGCTTGGTGCTCGAAGCACTTTTTTTGCTTTGCCCAGCTCTGATATATATATATATATATATATATATAGTCAATAAATTATATTTTGACCAAATACAGCCAACTAAAATTGATTTTTACATGGTCAGTTTTTTAAACGCTTTTCCTGAAAATGTATTGTTTATGTAGAAAGAATATTGTAATTTTCGCCTCGCGAAATATTAAATCACACATTAAATACCCATTCACCATTGGAGTTCAATGATTGGACAACATTCACGTGTGTTCACATAAAATTTTAACTTCTTTTATATAAATTCTTTTCAAAGCGAGGATTATTATCCGCTACAAATACTTTGTCTCTCCTGGGCCGTATTCACCTATCTTTAACTACTTTTTATTATAATATTTTACTCATCTACGCACACCAAAGCAAAATTAATTGCATTTTTAACTACGAAATTTGACAACTCAACTTGACAACCATTCAATGTAACCTACAATAATTTAAACATAACCACAATTACATTATAATTGCCATTGAGCCACATTGTGGCTTCATCTAAGAGTGTTTCGCGTAAGGTTTCAGGTGGTATTTTCAAAGTGGCAGAAATATGTGCCCAAGTGCCTTAGTTTGCATTTACCTCAATGGGAGTTTACCTGGTTTTCAACTTAAGTGAAAACTCTTAGATGAAGCCTCAATAACAATTTAATTGAAAATGTGACTTAGGCACTTCTTGCATTGACCCCTTCATTTAGTAGTTTAGTTTGTTTTAATCAATGCAACCAATTTAGGTTCCGTATTTACCAACAAAAACCCTAAAATTTGCAACGTTGCCGCAGTCCAGATACAAAAAAATTAACTTTAGGTGTTTTTGGAAACCTACCAAGGTGGCATTCTTAGAGAAGTAATTCCCGATCACTTTAACTTTGTAAACTTGACTGGGACACGGGATTAAATAAGTAATCTGCTAGTGAATAGTGAACTGCATGCACATACTGTTTAGGAAATATTATCTTAATGCCACAAATGTTTTTTTGCCATGATATTATGTACACTTATTTTTGTTTTTAAATTGTATTTCTCAGAATTGTACAAACATTATATCAATTTTACATTAAAAAATTTGGCAGTTTTATTTAAAAAGAATTCTCATATTTGGTAACCTGTGCTGTTTGTTTACTAATGTAATCAAGTAAGTTGTAGTTCTGGTCATGTGATATTAGCTACAGTAGGGTGACCATATGTACGGAATTTTGCTGTATTGTCCGGAATTTTAACAGGCCATACAGCATTTGCTTAAACTCCTCAATATTTTTAAGCTTCTAGCCTGGTGCCATCTAACTGACAAAAATTCTGGTTTACAGTATACTGCCCAAGTATGGAGAAAGGCAGTAACTGCTAAACAAGAAATTTGTGGGAAATTAGCATAAACTACATTTTTATAAAATGCAGTAGGTATTTAACTGATTTATTTAACTTATAAGATTGTTTACTGCATTCCTTTGTTAAATTAAGATACAAATGTCCATAGCTTTATCATGGCACAAGAAAACGCATTTAGAATTTTTTTGTAGTTACTGCCTTTCTCCATAGTAGGGCAGTATACACTACAATACAGTTAAAAAAGTACCGTAATAATCAGTTTACTTTTATTCTTAGTAGCATGCTTTACTTATTTCATTTTGTTTGATTTTTATTCCGAAAATTAAATAATTATAGCTGATTATACATTATCAGCAGTGTTTGTGGAAGCACTTAGGTGCATACTTGAAAATATTGTTAAATTTTGAATATTTCAATTTACTACAATTCCAGGCATAATCCATCACGTAAGAACTAATTTATACTATACCAGGCGAGTTTTTTAAAGTGACAAGGGGATATTTCGAAAACGGTTTAAAAATTGTTTGTGAAAATTTGGTAAACTAATATAGAGGTGGGTGACATATTTAAATATATTTTTGACATCAACCCCCTTTCCCTATTTTGAGTGGCGAGAGGTAACTTTGGATTTTTAATAGGGATGATATTTTTTTTAAATTCGAATGTATGTAAAAAACTGGGTATGTGTGCAAAAAAGAAATTGTTTTGCGCTTTCCCTTACGGAATTATGATTTATTACTTAATAAAATACTAAAAAAATAGTTTTAATATATTTAAGTGTACAAAATTCATTTAGAAAAAGTGTCTGAAAAATTCTTTAAATGTCACCCTTTAACTTCCAAATTGGAAGTTAAAGGGTGACATTTAAAGAATTTTTCAGACACGACACATGATAAATTAGTCGAAATTTAATTGTTAATATTTTTTAGAATCTTATAATCTCTTCAGTAAACGAAAGCGCAAATCAAAAGTTTTTGACGCACATACCTAGTTTTTTTCGTATTCGAATTTTAAAAAAACTACATCATTCCTATTAAAATTCCAAAGTTACCCCGCGCCCATCAAAATAGAGAAAGGGGGTAGGTGTCAAAAAGATGTATAAATATGTTCCCCCCCTCTCTATTAGTACACCAAAATTTTACAAACAAATTTTAACCCTTTCGACACAGCTTTTAGTTTTTAGTTTTATTATTTAAAACAATATTTTTTGTCTTATTTTCAACTTATTGGTGCTTAGGAAAGAAAGTTTGAGCAAAAAAAATCTAAAAAAATGAGATGGTACATTTATGTACCAGCAGTGTTATAAAACATTTATTTGTGGTACCATTATGAACCACCTGGGTTGTACAAACTAGAGAATACTTAGTGTGGTACGGAGCAAAACAATTTTTACATAGTGGGATTTTACACTCTTGACATAATGTTGTGGTCCTGGTTTGTATATATTTTATTTTCGGTACAACCCCTACATCGCTTTCTGGTAGTGCCTTGTATTGTTCATCAGTGGCGGCTGGTGGATTTTGGGTATACCGATATCTCAATTATTAGAAATGGGACCCTTACCAAATTTATATGAGTTTATAACGACATTAAATAAACAAGTTTGCCCAATCAGAATTTAAATTGAAGTTTCGGAAAAAAGATAACTTTTTGCTCGGCCGTACCGGCCCCTTGGCGCCCCCAATAAATATAATATAAATTTCATTTATTATTTATCATAGTTTATCGACAATATTCAAATTTTATTTAAAAAATCCAAATTATACAGATGTTATATTATTTTACATTTTTATTATTTTTTTGAAAAGAAATATTAAAAATTTAAAATGGTAAAAAATCGGTATAATTTGGATTTTTTAAATGAAATTTGAAATTTTTTGATAAACTATGGTAAATAATAAATTGCACCAATTAAATATAGATATTATATTTATTGGGGGCACCATGGGGCCGTTACAGCCAAGCAAAAAGTTATCTTTTTTTCGCAAACTTCAATTTAAATTATGCTTGGGCATAACTTGTTTATTTTATGTCATTATAAACTCATATAAATTTGGTGTGGGTCCCATTTCAAATAATTGAGATATCAGAATACCCAAAATCCACCAGCCCCCACTGTTGTTCATGCTTTTCGAGACATTGCCTATTTATTACATCTGTAACAATAGTACAAATGGTAGAAATATAAACAGCAAAAACTGAGCTGGTACACATTTGTACCACTCTATTTTTTCTAGAATCCTAATCTAAACATTACAATCAATAATACTTATTGACTATAACTCAAACTACACAAATAATAAAAGAAAATTATTAATTGCACATTTTTTTAAGTTTTTATATCACAAAATGAATTAACGTTGGTGCATTAGCTGTTTAAAAGTTGCCAACATAAAATTTTAGTTTAGAAATCAATATGAGTTGGTATCTGGCAACTATAAAATACTAACTGGTACACGGTAGCACCAATTTTAATGCAAAATTTTAAGTTTAGTAGCATACGAATGTTTGTGGTACATATATATACCCTCAGTAGCAAAAGGGTTAAACCATTTTTGAAATATCCCCTTGTAATAACACTTTAAAAAACTGAATTAGGTATAATTTTTTAACATTTGAATCAATTTTGGCTAAATTTAAGTTGCCACATGAGTTAAAAGTGACTCTTTTTTAAATTTTTTTTTGTCTGCAGACTTTTTACCCTTTCCAGCTTATTTTGACTGCCTTACTTTCTGCTATGTACAGCATTTATCTGGTCACCCTATGCTAACCCAAACTCTGGGGCCCAAAGTATGTTTACAAAAAAGCCAATTGTTTGTAAGAAAACCATTAGGTATAATGTTATTAACTTACCTTTGCATCTGTTCCTACTACAATATCCTTCAATTCTACAATTTTATCATTAATGCTTGTTCTATATTTTCTCTCAATTGCATTGTGTGCACTCCTTTTTACTTCCTTAACTTTTACTTCTTTGTGAGGAGGCATTCTGTTAATAGCAACTTTATTATCAGTATCTAGCATAAATGGAATACTAGTGGTAGTTAAAATCTGAGCATTGTTATTGAGAATAGAATGCAATGATGGTGTTGGATTACTTGTTGTGTACATAAATGTTGATTGAGTGGGAGATTCAGTTTTAATTATTTTAATGATTTGAGGCATTTTGTCAGGTGGTAACTGCCCAACATTTTGCACAAGAACGGGTTGCGTTTTTGGAGAAATGTCTTTCCTTTGCTGTTGCTGCAATATTATGTGTTGGTTTGTTTGGACTGGTAAATGGTAAACCACTTTTTGAGGGGCTGAGGCATTGGCAGGGCTTATAATTACTGCAGTTTGGTTTTGAAGGGATACATTTTTAACTGGAACGTTAGGTAACTGTGTACTTATAGCTGCATTGGTCAATATTTGAGAGTTTTCGTAGGCTGACACCACTTGAGGAGTGTTAAACGCATTATTTTGTGGCACGTTTTCTGTGTAGCTTTGACCACTTATTTCTATCCCATTTTCCATATTTCCAATAAGGTCCAATGGCAAGTCGTCCATTGGAATTTGAGCATCAAACTGTGATAAAAGTGCATCATCTTCGAATAAGTCATCGGTTTTCATCAACTCACTTTCGTACTGATTTAAAAAATCTAAAACAAAACAATAATTACACAATATAAACAAAAAGGAACTTGACATTGAAGTACCATCAATACCAGCAATTTCATTAAGATTGAAATCGCCAGTTGGAAATTGCGAGTTATTATCACCCATTTTCGCGAATTAAAGTATAAATTTTCACTGACAATAGATCATTTCGCAAAATCACCATACACTTTTAAGCGAATCAAAAAGTCATTTGAAATGGGGTGATGTCTGACGATGTGCGCCATTTATTTCTCTAAATATCTGATGTGCGCAGCTGGGATCTCCGGCCAAGAACACAAATTTCAGGACACGGCATTGTTGCCAGTCCTACTATTGTAATGGTATTTTATTTGATTTTTTTGTACTTTGTTCATATACATATAACTATACTATAAGTTATATGTATATGACTTTGTTCCATCGTCAATTTAGGTATCATTTTTTAAGATTTTGTATTATATAGAATTATTTTTAGACGAAATTGTTTTCGTATACTATGCTAATTTATGGCCACCATTAAAAGCGGTTTCATATATGCAAAATACGAAAAATGTTTTCATTGGTTCATTTGATTTGGCGGGAGAAGCGTTTTGACGTTTCGACAGATCCTGCGAATTCGCAAGATTTGAAATCTGGGGAGCGGGAATCTTGAAAATGATTCAATATTTTGTGAAAATCGCACGATTTGTCGTGATGCGCATGCGCATTAATTAATTCTATCTTCGTTTTAACAATAAATAAGCGCAATTGCACGCCTTCGTCGCCAATGGTATAATTGCCACTGGTATAATAATTAATAACAATTATTGTTTATCCATAATAAAAACACAAAATCTTAATTTACATAAAACAACAAATATAAAATGTTAACCAAGTATGGCAAATATAATAAAATAATATAATACGCCGTGACTAGAAGTACACCGGGACTGATTCCGTACTGATTTGGAATGAAAAACGTACTGATTTTAATAAAAAAGTAGTTTTCAAAAAAAATACAAGATGTTAATATTTTGACGTACACCTCGTTTCTTATTGTAGTACACGTTCATCGCCCATAATGGCGGGTGCCACCCGCCGGGTGGGGGCGTTGCAACCACATACTTAAAAGTCGTTTTTTCGCGTAAATACTATGTAATACTACGGTTAAATAAGTCATGACGTCACAGTTAATTCATATAACCATGGTTAGGTTTCTAACATTTGACATTTGTTTACTTGTTCTTAACCTATAATTTTTGAAATTTGTTTTTACCTATTTATATTTTATTTCTATGCTTTTACCGGTGTAAATAAATTTATTTGCCTCTTCTTATACCTAGTATATTCTTTTTCTATAGGTACTAGTTTTTTCAATACACGTTATCCAATTCTCCTACATGTTTAATACAAAATAAGGAAGAATATAAAACAAACCTGCATATAATTCCTCCACTTGTGGAGATTCCACAATATGGAGCACCCTATAATTTATTTTTACTGACAACACCCCGTTTACCATTTTAATACAAAGTTTAAATTCGGTTTAAGAGCAATTGTACCTACTTAAAATATTTTAAATTTCAAATGTAAACAACTTTTTGACAGATCGAAACAGAGAAAAATATATATTAAAAAGAGAAAGACTATTAACCACGTTGAATAACTAGCTCAGCGATAGTTTTATGGTCTGGTATTTGTGACGTCATAGTTAGGATTTTTGAACGCACTCTTAACGCAAAAATGCCTTAACTATTAACCAAGGTTAAGTTTAATAACCATAGTATTTCATGGTATTTACGCGAAAAAACGACTAAAGTATAAAGCCTGATTTATAGATTGCCTTCCTTCCTTCCTCCCGTAAAAGATGAACAATACGAAAATCGTAGTGCCATTTATAGTACGGAAATCTTTAAACTGCACAACGGTTTTTGTACTGTTCATCTTCTACGGGAGGAAGGAAGGAAGGCAATCTATAAATCATGCTTAAGTGTGGGTTCATAATGACCGTTAGAATAAGCATAAGAAATACATAACAATACCATATATTTAAAACATAATCATAAACGTAAACATAAGAGCGTTCACAATGAGCAGACGTCAGTATACGCATCTTAGAACAAAAAACAACAGGAAGGAGCATTTAATAAATGACCTTGGGTCCAAAGTGGAGCTTCAATATGGCGGATAGTTGTTTCCGTTTGACAGTGGCGTACTGTGTCACACAGGGTTGGGTCAGTAGAAAACCTTAGGTAATTTACCTTGGTAGAAAAGGGTAGAAAACTTGTTTTCGACTTGCGTCGAAAACCTATAGGGTTTTCTACCTACGTAAATTACCTTATTCGACCTTCTCCTTCCACTTCTCTATAATTGATAAAAATTTGCCCTCATGCCAAAAATTATGTTGGGGTCTCCCAACCAAACGTGGCCCTTTTTTTCCCACCATAATAATGTTAAAAAACTCCAAATAACTTCAAATTTATGGTAGGTGTCTGATTTTTCACAACATTTAACAAATCATAATAAACAACAAACTTGCATAACCTCACATTTTTTGATATTTTACAGTATTCTACTTTTTTACGTTTTCTACCGTCGAAAACGTCGAAAAAGGTTTTCTACATGTCGAAAACAAAAATGTAGGTAGATACCCAACCCTGACTGTGTGTAAAGGATAAATATAATAGTATATATTGTGGGTTTATTTATTGAGGTCCAAAATTGTATGTAGTTTATAGGAATGCATTAAATAAATTATTAATATTATATTATAAATGTATTGTTTTTATTTCTATTAATCAAACTTTAATTAAAAAATATACATATACCTACATATATTATTGTATAAAACATATTTTGTTATTTCTATTAAGTTTTGCTTTAAGTTTAAAAATGTTCATTATTTGTATTTAACAAATTTTAATTAATATATTTTATATATTTATAAATACTTATAATTAATTAATGCATATTAACATTCATTCAATGATTTTTTGATACAATCGCAAAATTTATATTGTGATACATAATTATAAAATAAAACAAGTTCAACTTTGACAAATATAGCATCACAAATGTGTCATAATTTGGAGCTTGCAAATGGCCGACTTCCATCGCAATTTTAGTACGGCTAAAGAATGACAAGACTCCTTCCTGTTGTTTTTTGTTCTAAGATACGCATCGACAATCAGCGCCGCTGGTGGTAAAAAAAATACTTAATTTGTGCAATTTAGAGGGCAGGTTTTGTTAATTTCCCCTATTAAGTTCGGGCTCCTTGTGTAGGCTCCATGCGCAGTATACTCGTAAATGTTCAACTAATGTCATTTTTTGTAACATAACCTCATAAAATTTGTGAATTGTGTTTTTAAAATGAGTGAAGAATGAGCTGGCCAAATAGCTTATAAAAAAGCTAAAGGCCATTAACCTCTGAATACAGAGATACTCTGTATTCAGATTTATTGAATTGAATTCCAGTTCGATTTTATCCTTCATCGGTAGTACATCGCTCCATGAAAAAGTCTGAAAATAGTTGACTTTGACCCAGGAAGGATAAAATGGGGTTCCCGGTATAGAAATATACCGGTATTTCTTGACAATATCGCAAGCTTTGTCCTTTCAGCGAGGAATTTGGTGATTTGTGCAATCGATTTAGTGGATGTTTCAAGATTTGAAATTCCACATGTCCAACTACCCAGGCAACACAGGGTCGTAGAAATCACGTAGAATCGTCGACGAATTGGGTCGAATTTGGTCGAAGTTATATTTCAACCATTTTTCGACGTCTCAAAATTCACCAAAACACGACCAATTATTAACTTAGGTCGATGATAACCAATAAATGACGTCATTATCACGTGAACAGATGACGAAATTTTTAAGAAAATATGAAAATATAGTGATAATTAATAAGAAACAGTTGGCCCGTTTTAATGGGCCGACAAAAAGTTTTGGAATATTTTTAAAAACAAAAATTATTATTTTTATTTAATTTACGTTATTTCGACGGAGAATCAACGTGCAATATTTTATTAAAATAATTTTAAACATTTTTTGGTTTTAAACTAATTAAGATAGATTAATAATTATTGGATCAATGGATTTTTTAAAACAAATTCGCGATTTTTAAATCCTTTATCATTTCATCACAAAATAAGAAATTAACATGTTACTGCAGTTGACAATCACAATTTTAATTTTAGTATAATTATTTATCTACAGTGTTGCCAGATGTTTTATAATTTTCTTTTTTAAAATAGTAAAATTTAAATAATAATCGATAATTGTAACATAATTTAATCCGCCGCGTAGTTTTGCTTGTTTTTATACAATTTTTGTTTTGATAATTTTATATAATTTTCTGTAAATTTGATCATTTTGTCAACCCTCTTCGATAATATTAATTTTTACACCTGGCAACCCTGTTTCTCTTTGACACTACTTACAAAGCGAGGGAACGTTTATTCCATGGAGCCTACACAAGGAGCCCGAACTTAATAGGGAAAATTGACAAAACCTGTCCACTAAATTGCACAATTTAAGTATTTTTTTTTCACCACCAGCGGCGCTGCTTGTTAATGCGTCCGAATGACGTGAAAATAGTATCGAAAATACATGTGAAGTAAGCAAGTAAGTTTTGACAATTGATTTGCAATAATGTTTTGACGTACGAATCGTTTTGTTATTTATGGCTGTACCTGGTAGGTAGATGCTAATGAAAAGGTTTTGGTTGTGAAATATAAGTGATTCTTTATAATCTGTGAAGTGAACCAGGTACATGGGTACATTGTTTTCAGAAAGTGATAAACTGACAGTTGCATAACCTCAATTATTTGCACAATAATAAGTGGTAGGTAGTGGCGCCATCTCTGGTTATACCCCTCTACTGTTTTGGACCGGTAGTACACCAGCGCCCTCTTATCTTAGGAAGATTCTTGTTTACATGAAGTTCGGGCTCCTTGTGTAGGCTCCATGGTTTATTCCTAAAAAACAATATGGTTGATTCATGCGTCTAACTTATAATCTGTGGCATGTATACATAGAACAAACCATTTATACTGATAACCCTTGTGGAAATTTTTCTCTGAGAAAGTCTTACTTTCTCTGAAAAAGTCTGAATAATACTTATTAAGTCGGAAAAAGTCAAAATAAGACTTATTAAGTCGGAAAAAGTCTGAATAAGTCTTATTAAGTCAGACTAATAGCAAGATTTGGGAGTCTTCTGGAAGAGTTAATAAGACTTTTTAAGACTTAATAAGACTTTTAGTAGAGAAATGGTAGGTATACCTATGGCGATAAAAATATATATCCGA